ACGCCAGAGGGCCCCGGTTCNAATAACTACACACGTATCCATAATCACATTAAATGTAAATGGACTGAATGCTCCAATCAAAAGACACAGGGTGGCTGAGTGGATAAGAAAGCAAGACCCTTGCATATGCTGTCTACAAGAGACTCACCTCAGATCAAAAGACACATACAGGCTGAAAGTAAAGGAATAGAGTAAAATATTTCATGCAAATGGAACCGAGAAAAAAGCTGGAGTAGCGATACTTATATCAGATAAAATGGACTATAAATTGAAGAACATAATGAAGGACAAAGAAGGGCACTTCATAATAATAAAGGGATCGATCCAACAAGAGGGCATAACTCTAGTAAACATCTATGCACCTAACATAGGAACCCCTAAATATATAAAACAGATTTTGACAGACATAAAGACAGAGATCAACAGTAATACTATTATAGTAGGGGACTTCAACACTTCGTTGTCACCAATGGACAGATCTTCCTGACAGAAAATCAACATGGAAACAGTGGCTTAAATGACACTTTAGACCAGCTGGATTTAATTGATATTTTCAGAGCATTTCACCCCAAAGCTATGGAATATACATTCTTCTCAAATGCACATGGATCATTTTCTAAGATAGACCACATGTTGGGCCACAAAACAAGTCTCAATAAATTTAAAAAGACTGAAATAATATCAAGCATTTCTCTGACCACAATGCTATGAAACTAGAAATCAATTACAAGAAGAAATCCGGAAAGCTCACAAATGCATGGAGGCTGAATAACATGCTACTAAATAGCGAATGGGTCAAAAATGAGATCAAGGAGGAAATCAAGAGATACCTGGAGACAAACGAAACTGAAAACACCACAACCCAAAATCTCTGGGATGCAGCAAAAGCTGTCCTAAGAGGAAAGTTCATAGCAGTGCAGGCCTACCTAAAGAGGCAAGAAAAATGTCAAATCAACAGGTTATCCTTATACCTCAGGAAACTGGATAAAGAACAGCAAAATAAGCCCAAAGGGAGGACAAGGAAGGAGATAATAAAGACCAGAGTGGAAATAAATGAAATAGAGACCAGAAAAACAATACAAAAGATCAATGAAACCAAGAGCTCGTTTTTTGAGAAGATAAACAAAACTGACAAGCCTCTAGCTAGACTCATAAAAAAAAAAAGAGAGAGGGCTCAAATTAGTAAAATCAGAAATGAAAGAGGCGAAGTAACAACAGACTCCACAGAAATACAAAANTCCTCCACAACTAGACTGAAGAACAAAACGACAGCAACTTGTCTGTTCCCCTTCCCCCAATTCCCCAGCGCTGTTCCCATCCTCCAATTCCCCAATAAAAATCTTGAAGAAAAAAAAAAAAGAATTAAAACTTAAGGCTAGACGAGTGGATCAGTTGGTTAAGAGCTCGCTCAAGAGTGCAAGCTCTGAGCAACAGGGTCACTGGTTCGACTCCCGGCCCAAGTTGAGCTGCTACTGAGCTGCCAACAGGTGGCAAGATGGCTCAGCTAAAAAAAAAAATTAGCATGAAAAAAATGTTACTAGGGCCAAAAAAATTCTAAACTAGTAGAAAGTATTTGTTAAAAGAAATAATGGTTCAACTCACTGCTATTTAACACTGAGCATATAATTATAAGTTGAGAATATAAAGTGTTGTTTAGTGTATATTGGCTCATACATATTGGATAATAAAACCAGCTAAATGTAGTACAATATGTGGGAGGGGACTAGATGAAGGAGCCAAATCAATGAAGAGGAGACAGACAGGGACTCAGGATGAGCAGTCCTGAAGGAACCCTTGGAACTATTATACATTATGGGGTCTGTCTCTCAAAGCCTCCGACCCCCAGGGTGCCCTCTCACACACCAACAACCAGTGCTGCAACGGGAACTTTCACCAATATTCTGACTCTGTGACCACACAGCATGCTTTGAAACTGCTCAGAGTACAGACTAGGCTACTAGAAGCCATGCCAGGAGCTAAAGGGACTCAGGGCTTGATCTTGACACATGTAGCCCGTTCACTGCCCACTCGACTCTGCAGAAAGGTTTGAAAAACGGACTCTGGTTACTGAGTGCAGCCTTATGCACACATCAGTGTGGAGCTTCTTCGGGATTTAAGGTTTATTTTAGAAATAGTTACCTTTCTTCATGTAATGTTAAACATTTGTATTGTGACTGTAAGACTACTTTTGAGAATTTTTAATATCCTTTTTTTTTTCATCTTGGAAACATTACCCTGCAGTCTCAAACATTCAGAACCTAAAAATGTAGTCTCACCCCTATTCCTTCTGTGATCATAAATTTTTTATTTAACAGTATTCAAAGTTTTTTTCAAGGCCAAGTATTTCTCGTTTCTTATACTTTTTAAATTCACTTTTTAAAAAGTTAAGAAGTATGTACTTTTTACATTGTAAATCCTCTAAGTCCATGACTGCTCACCTCAGGTGAGCCCTTATGCTGCCTGGCAATCCTACTGTATTTCCCTACTCCATCTGCTCTCCTATTCATCTACAGACCATTTTGTAACTTCCCTCTCTCCTCAAACCGCAAAACTTCCTACCCAATTCTGATGCCAACTCACTAAGAAAACAAAAGCATTCAAGAAAGGAATTCTACCAGTACCCACCACCAAAACTACCAGGATTTGAATCCACACACTCTGCCTGCCCTCCTGTTACTATGGATGGACAAATTCATGATGAAGGCCAACTGTCCCCTTATGCACTAGATTCCATCTCTTCTGTCTCCTCAGGGACATCACTTCAGCAATTAAGCTTCTACTGGCTGGCATCATCAACCGTATCCCTCTTTAGAGAATCATTCCCATCAGTAATAATAACTCTGTAATGCTGCTCATCTCTTGGAAAACAAAAAACAAAAAAACTTGCATGGGCTTTCATTGCCAGCTCTTACAGCACAGCTTATTAGCAGACCAATTCTTCCAGGAAACAGAGGATGAAATATGTAAGACAGTTGTTTGAGGGCAGGGGAGAACTACTAAGCCAGCCAGCCTATATACAAGGGCTTCAAAGCAAATGTAAGTTTCTAAACATTCTCATAGAAATGGGAGACAAAATTGGACCTCAGGGCTTACCAAAGATGAAAACCCCAGGCTTTCAGTCAAGACTTCTGGACGGTTAAATATAAAACAGGATAAACAGAAAGAAAATCATACCAAGACCAACTGCTAAAAACCCAACTCAAGAGAGCGCCGAAAAAATGGTGGCGGTGAGAAGGGCTCCCTGAGTTCTCCCTGGAAAGCACAGCAATTTGAGCAGCTGGAGCGCAGCAAACAAACCTCTACCGAGCACACTGAGTACTTAAAGGTGGGCAGTCCAGGCGAGTGGCGGAAGAGGGAGGCGAGGCGTGGAGGCACAGACCACACCGGCAGCTGCTAAGACTCAGGGTCTCAGAGAGCAGATGAAAGTTTCCGCGGCTGGCTCCCTGCACCTCCAGCCCCCGCTAAGGCAGAATCCTCAGGTTGGACGTGAAGCGGAACAGAGAGTGGAGTATGTGAGCGGAGGCACAGTCCGTCGGTGCCTGCGCTGCGGAGCTGTGGGAATCCAGGACAAGGCAGAGTGGTTTGCAGCACCAGGGCAAGCTCACCCTCTAGGCTGACCGCCCGCCAGGAGTGCGACAGGAGCCCCGGGGCGCGCAGTTTCTGAGGCAGAAATCTCAAACCAGCGAGCAGAAGAGGGAAGCGAGAAGCGTGGAGATGCAGCCCGTACCCCACAGCTGTGGAGACACGAGCCACCTTGCCAGGGGGGGGTTCCTGGAGAACAGCAGGGCGTCTGCTGGAGCGTTTGAGGGTGCTTTTTTCTTTTTCCTTTTTTTTTTTTCTTTCTTTTTCTCTTTATTTTTTCCCCTTTTCTCCCAGACAGGAAAAATAAACTGCATAGATAAGTGCACACCCCCACCCTCCCTCAGAAACCTTGGCCCCCTCCCTGCCAGAGCCTGAGGCTGACCCCTGAAGAGAGGAGTAAGTCAGAACAAAGGTGCTTGACTCCCTAGGGGTTGAGAAATTTCGATGAGAAGAGGCTGCAGAAGTGGGCTACTGAATACGCTGTNCTGATCTGCCTCACCCGGGAAGAGTGCAATGATGGTGCCAACTTGGGCCAGTGAAGCAACGTCCTCCACAACTAGACTGAAGAACAAAACAAGAGCAACTTGTCTGTTCCCCTTCCCCCAATTACCCAATAAAAATGTTTAAAAAAAAAAAAGAGAAATCTTTGTACCTTAGTCTCAATTTTGATGTGAACTGAAACTGCTCTAGAAAAATAATTAATGGGAATATAAATTATTACCATCTTTTAGGAAGATAATCTGGTAGGACTCATTAAAATGTAAAATGAACACATGATACTTAGAGCTGTAATTCCATGTTTAGGAATCCATCCTATAAATATACATATTCATGTTCTGAAAGACTTGGTACACAGATATTCACTGCTTGTTTATAAATAACCAAAAAAAAATTTAATAAAGAAAACATTTGTAAAAAGAAATAATTTAAATTTTTGGATAAGACTATGCTGTGGATTACTATTCAGCAATATTTTAAAAAGTAATAATAAAGTAGATTGACGTGTGCTAATATAAATGTTACATACAAATCTGTAATTCTAAAGAAACAGTACAATCGTATTTATGTAAAAAACAAAAAAAATTCCAAATCTATAAATGTTTCTGTATGCAATTACTTAACAGATATACTTTAAGTTAAAAACTTATGCCAGATTATTCTCTTTGTTTTCTAATAACTATCTTCATATGCCATGTCATCATACATAGAAGGCCTCTTTAATTATAAAATATTTTTCACAAATTTTCAAATCAAATATATTACACCTATTTTACAACAACCAGCTATAGGTCATGATTATATAATTATATAAGTATTTTGGCCAAATTTTATATATAAAAACAGTGTGTTACTTTTTAAATCTGACATTTAATGTCATCTTCAACATGCTAAAAGGAGAATTTCATTGTTGTGCTTACCAATTTCATTAATCACTGCTCTTATTTTGGAGACAAAAGGACCAACTTCACTGGAATGCATTTTGACTCTTTCCTTAAGGTCAGCACCTGCAAAATATTTATTTATAAATCTGGTTATAAACAAAATGTTAAAACAATAAAAGTTTATTTAAAATTCATACATAACATGAAGAGTGACTGAATTTATCTGTTTAAAGAATTACACTATCTACATTTTCCTTCTCAAAGATCAGCATCAGGAAGAAGAACATATGTGTTCACACATCTATCATGTACTTAAAGTAGTTCTCAAACTTTGTGGTCTCGGGACCCTGTTAAACTCTTAGAGTAAGAGACTGTTTAGATTAACTGTATTAATACTCTATTAGAAACTGAAGCTACAAATCTTAAAATATTTATTCATTTAATAATACAAATAAACCCATTCATGTTAATTAATATAAATCACTGCAGACTGATGCCACGTCCTTGGTTCTTGCAAAGATGTTGGCAATTTTACCCACAATTGATTTTATCCCATCAGTGTCAATTCAGTGGAAAGGGCAAATCACACCTTACTGCTGTGAAAATCATTTCATCGATGCCTGCCTTGGTGACTGTAGATCACATTTGAGAATCACTGCCTTAAAAGAATGAACTGGGCCGGCTGGGTGGCGCAGTTGATTAGAGCACCAGCTCTGAGCAAGAGGGTCGCCAGTTCGAGTCCCACATGGGCCAGTGAGCTGTGCCCAAGCTGAGCTGCCAATGAGCTCCAAAGGGCAGGCAGATGGCTCAGCTGGTGAGAATATGTACCCTTAAAAGCAAGGTTGCTGGTTAGACTCCCGTATGGGATGGTGGGCTGTGCCCTCCCACCCCCACCTCAGCCCCCACAACTAAGAATGAACATGGCACCTTGGGCTGAGCTGCCACTGAGCTGCCGATGGGTGGCCAATGGCTCAGCTGGTTAGAGCGCATGCTCTTAACAACAAGGTTGCCGGTTTGATTCCCTCATGAAATGGTGGGCTGCGCCCCCCCCCATCCCCTCAATTATTCTGAAAGCAGCAATTGGACTTGGACCTGAGCTGCGCCCTCCACAACTAAGACTGAAGGACAACAACTGGACTTGGAGCTGATGGGTCCTGGAAAAAACGATGTTCCCTTCCCCAATTCCCCAACACTGTTCCCTTCCCCAATTACCGAATAAAGTCTTAAAAAAAAAAAAGCCATGAACTGACAACTTTATAATTATGAGTTTATCATGGAATCTTTGGAACAGAGAAAAATAAACATAAAGAATTCTTAAAGGAATCATTTACTCTGTGTGGCTCAACAAAGACATTCTTTTTAATAAAATTAAACTATCTGAGAAGGGTAGGCCCCCATTTAACTAAACAGACAAATAGAAAACGAAGTAAAATTACACCACAGAAGGCAGACACTCAGCTACTTACTCTCTTATTAGTCCATTATAAATTAATCATGACTAATCATTAATCATTAGTCCGTTATAAATTAATCAAGTACCAGCTGAGGCTGGGACAGTCTGAGCTCACATACTTCCTGTGGATTGAGCACTGTAGCTGACAAAGCACAAACCCTACAACTCATCAGTTCTATAAATATATATAAACACATATATACACACACACACACACACACACACACACACACACACACACAAATCCACCCTAGAAAGTCTCTCAAACATATGCCCAAGGAAATACGAACAAGAACATTCAATACAACATATATAAAATAGCAAAAACTCAGAAATAACCTAAATATTAATCAAAAGGATTATTAATAAAACTGAAAGATAGTATAATATACAATGGAATGTTACATGTGCAGCATGTAAATGAAGGAATTAAAGAGTATAAATATGGGTAAGTATAAAAGTGAAGAACATAATTACATACAATAACAGAAAGAACACAGTATAATAACTATTTACATAAGTTTCTATACAAGAATGCTATTTAGGGATATAAAACATGCATGGAAATGATAAATAATGATAAATTCAATTGGTGGTACCTCTTGGGGGAGGGAGAGAGATGTAACTGGCAATGGGTACACAGTACTTCAATCTTATTTGTAATACTGTATTGCTTAAGTTAGGTGGCGGGTACTAAATGTTAGTCATTAAACGTTTTTGGATGCTTGACATATGTCATTATAATTAACTTTTCCATAAAGAATTAAAACTTGCGCAAGCTGAGTGGCGCGTTGGTTAAGAGCTGGCTTGGGACACCAGAGGGCCCAGGTTTGGATCCCACATATGAGGGCCAGTGACACTGCCCTCTACAGCTAAGATGCTGAACAACAGCTCAACCTGGAGCTGGGCTNGATCCCACATATGAGGGCCAGTGACACTGCCCTCTACAGCTAAGATGCTGAACAACAGCTCAACCTGGAGCTGGGCTGCCATGAGTCACAGGCAATGGCATAGACTGCAGCCCCTGCTGCAGTGGGTTGCCATGGGCTACCGTGTGTAGCCTGCAGCCAGCGTGAGCGGCCAGCAGCCACTGTGAGTGGCCTTCCAGAAGTCAGCAACTGATCTGCCTCACCTGGGAAGAGCGCAATGATGGTGCCAACTTGGACCAGTGAAGCAACGTCCTCCACAACTAGACTGAAGAACCAAAGGACAGCAGCTTGTCTGCTCCCCTTCCCCCAATTCTCCAGCACTGTTCCCATCCCCCAATTCCCCAATAAAAAATCTTTTAAAAAAAGAGCACAAGCTCTAAGCAACAGGGCCTCCAGTTCAATTTCCACATGGGCCTGTGACGCTGCACCCGAGCTGAGCTGTCACTGAGCTGGCAACAGGTGGCAGGATGGCTCAGCTGGTGTAACAACAAGATTGCCTGTTTGCTGGTGGGCTATGCCCACCTGCAACTAAGACTGAACTCAGCACCTTGAGCTAAGTTGCCGCTCAGATGGCTCAGTGGATAGAGCATGTGCTCTTAACAACAAGGCTTCTGGTTCGACTCCCGCATGGGATGGTGGCTATGCCCACCCACAACTAAGACTGAACTTGGCACCTTGAGCTGAGCTGCCGCCCGGATGGCTCAGTGGATAGGGCGTGCGCTCTTAAAAACAAGGCTGCTGGTTCGACTCTCACATGGGATGGTGGCTACACCCACCCACAACTAAGATTGAACACAGCACCTTGAGCTTAGAAGCCACAAGCTGCCGACGGGAAATCAGATGACGACTGGCGCCCTCCACAACAAAGACTGAAGAACAACAACTTGGCTGGTCCCCTCCCCAATTCTCCAACACTGTTCCTCTCCCCCAATTCCCCAATAAAATCTTTAAAAATAATAATAATAATAATAATAAAATAAAACAATTAGGGAGACCACTTCATGGACAGTGTAGAGGCTTGACCACTGCACTGTACACCTGAAGCTGAAACTGAATAATACTGTATGTCAACTATAATTTAAAATATATATAATCACAGGATGTGGAGTATAGTATGGTGAGTAGAGTCAATGGAATTATAATAGATATGTATGATGTGGGGGATGGGCACGGTGGATTGGGAGATGGGGGTTGTCACTTTGTGAGGGGTGAAAAGTATAACTAGTGCATTGTTTTGTACACCTGAAACTAATTTAGAAAAATAATAATTATGACAATATACTATAATAAAAGTTATGTAAATGTGGTCTCTCTCTTTCAAAATATCTTTTGTACTATACTCATCCTTCTTATGATGATGATATGACATGATACAATGCCTACATGATGAGATGAAGTGAGGTGAATGGCACAGCCGTTTAGTGTTAGAGTGCTATAAGTGTTACCGGAACACAAGCACTGTAATAGCACAACATCACCGAGACTGCAACTGAGTGATTAACAGGCAGATGGCCTATACAGCATGGATACACTGGACCCAAGTGGGACGGAGGGGGACGGTACAATATTTCATCACACTACTCAGAATAGTGCAATTTAAAATTTATGAATTGCTTATTTCTGGAGTTTTCCATCTAATATTTTTAGACCCTGGTTGAGCACAGGTAACTGAAACCACAAAAAGAGAAGCTGTAGACAAGGGAAGAAAAGAACTACTATACAACACCAAAGGCACAATCCACAAAAGAAATGGGATACACTGGCTTTTATTAAAATGAAAAAAAACTGCTCTGCAAAGTCAAGAAAATGAAAAGACAAGCAACAATCTGGGAAAAAATATTTACAAAAAAACAAAGGTAATAAAGCACTATGATCTAAAATATACAAAGAACACTTCAAACTCAACAATAAGAAAACAAGGAACTCAATTAAAAACTAGGCTAAAGATCTTAACAGATACCTCACCAAAGAAGCATATGAAGAAATGCTCCACATCATATGGCATCAGGGAAATGCAAATTAAAACAACGAGACACCACTACAACACTTATTAGAGTGGCCAAAATCTGGAACACTGACAACACCAAATGCTGACGAGGATGTGGCGCAATTGTAAGTCTCACTCATTACTGGGGGAATGCAGAATGGTACATCTACTTTGGAACACAGGCAGTTTTTTACAAAACTAAACAGATTCTTACCATATGATCTAGCATTCATGCTCCTTGGTATTTACCCAAAGGAACTGAAAACTATGTCCACACAAAAGACTACACACAGATGTTTAGAGCAACTTTATTCATAACTGCTAATACCTGGAAGCAACCAAGACATCCTTTGGTAGGTGAATGGATAAATAAACTGTGGTACATCCAAACGAGGGAATATTATTCGGAGCAAAAAAATAGGTATCAAGGCATAAAAGACATGAATAAAATTTTAATGCATGTTATTAAGTGAAAGAAGCCAATGTGAAAAGGCTACAAACTGTATGATTCCAACCAACTACATGACATTCTACTAATGTAAAATTATGGGGACAGTAAAAAGTAGTTGCCAGAGAAGGGAGAAAGGGTAACTAGGCCAAGCACAGATTTTTAGGGCAGTAAAAATACTCTGTATGACACTATAATGATGGTACATGTCATTTTACATTTATTCAAACCCATACAATGTCCAACACCAAGAGTGAACTCCACTGTAAACTATGGACTCTGGGTGTTGAGGACATGTCAGTGTGG